CTTATATTGCAAGTGTTAGATCACAACTTGTAAGCTTTCTCGTGCTTACAAACTAAATAAAGACCATTTGCACTACGCCCATGCATTCATAAATTTCTCGTCATTTTGGCTCCATCCACTTTTAATAGCAATGGCAATACTAATGGTGAGAATCTCTATGAGACGCTGAATAGCAATCAGCGAATGCAATCGTTACATCAAACTGTCCACTACTAGTATCTCCTTGTATTAATAAATAATCAACGTAATTCTGATCAATCTCAAAGTTAATCAATTCATATCTATGAAAACAACCTCCCTCTAAACACCACTGAAACCAACCGATTTATTACAGTATTCGTATGAGTAATCGCTTATTTCCTTACAATTTTCAAATCACCAAATCAGCAAACCAGATACCGTCCCCTAACCATCTAGCACTGATGGTCATTCAAGCCTTCTGATCTCATCACAGGATTTACCTTCGCTTGCATTAAACGTCATACTATGAATGCTCTATTCGTTATATTACTTTTCCATTCCTATTCCGGGCTAAACAACATTTGAAGAATTGTTTTTCATAAGCCCTGTTTCCTTTCAAGAGAATTCATCATTCTATACGAGACTCCTTATTTGTTTCTCTCTGTCATACCATCATGTTTTTCGAAACAATCAAACTCATTCCTCCAGATTTGTTATACTATGCCTTAAGATATGTGTGACGTTTAACAGTGTCTTGTATTAGCACCTTTCCAAAATTGCTTGTCAAATCGATATTTCGAAAACCATGTCAGGATTTTCTTTCCCAGCTACGATGCAAACAATCACGGTAAAACTGCAGCCTGTACAGCAGTTGAATTCCTATAAAATTACTGGTACTGAACTAGAGTAGCTGCCGTCATAACAATTCTAAACTCATTGAAACTGATGGTACCGATAGCTTGTACATTTTTGGTGTAATGTGTGGTAACACGTGGAAAAACATTTATGCAGCTGTCACGCAACGCACCATTGGTATTTTCAAATTTATCCCAACCTCAGCAAGGAAGTGAGCTTACTTATAGGCAAGAGCATTAAACTCGAGCCTAGCCCTAGCATGTAACATTGAATTCAATCCTGGGGGTTCTGTTCGGGGTCCCTACGCACATTGCGATTCTACCTCGCTCATGGAAAGCCACCAAACCATGACTAGCAATGTTTCCCTTCATTATGCTTGGCGTGACAGCATCAAAAACACGATAATGATCAACAAGAGGATGAACACAATGATGATCGAACGAAACAATCACATAAACAAAACGGGAAGTAATAACACAAAAAACAACAACAGCAACGGGATAATCAAGAAGATATTCACATTGACACGATATTTCAATGCCCATGTCCAATCGCATAATCCGAAACAGCACAACATGAACAAGATCAGACAGAATATCTTGAAAATGAAATCGAATCAAGTCGGCTGCTATC